CGTCTATCTGTCTGTCTGTTTGTTCCGGCTAATCTCTGAAATGGGTGGACCTATTTTGACGGGACTTTAATTAGCAGGTAGCTAATGTAATAATGAGTAACTTAGGCTACTTTTATTCTAGGAAAAATTGTTATATTAGAAAAATAAAGTTACATTCCACGCGGGCGATGTCGCTAGCCAGTCTCATATACATATCAAAATTCACTGTGCTTGATTCGCAACAGATTTATACATCTAAGTAATTCAATTTTTTTTGTGGATTTGGACCCTCCAAATCCACAAAAAAAATTGGACAACTTTATTATTTAAATATTTTATGATTAAAACTACATACAACCCCTAAAGTTTCACTTTTCTACCATCAACCCTTATTTTTTAATAATGGTATACATCTCGCAGCATTACATAGTATAAAACGAAGTCACTGAAATGATTTAAGCATATATAGGGACGCACAGACAGCGCTGTCCGTCCCTATGTATGCTTAAATCTTTAAAACTACGCAACGGATTTTGAAGCGGTTTTTTTTAATAGATAGAGTGTTTCTAGACGAAGGTTTACATGTATTATACATGTACACCGGGGCGAGTAGCTAGTATATGTATATGCTAGCTGACATGGCAAACATTGTTTTGTCATATAAATGAATATAACTGTATATAATAATAATAATAATAATAATCTCAGGACAATTCACACAGCGCCATCTAGACCCGAGTTAAGCTATCTAAAGCTTGTGTTACGGGTACTAGATAACTGATACAAGTACATAGATATATTTTTTTTTCGTAAATACATACATAATATACATAGAAAACACCCAGACCGATACAAACAATCATACTCATGAATACAAATGTTTGTGCCGTGCGAGGAATCGAACCCGCGACCATCGGACGTAAAGCGGTGTGCTAGACCGCTAGACCACCGAGGTCGTCATTATACACAGTTATACAAGAAAATTAACCTAAATAGGCCGCCGGTCCTAAACTTTCAATTGTTGTCCAAACATGTCAACTACAACGACGAAATCTGCGCAACTTGGGACAGCGTCTTCCACTATCAGTCTACAATACGTATCTAACACAGATAGTGTGCTTTCCGCCTTAAATATTACCCGGAATAGTTTGTTTATAAAGTGAAACGACATTAAGTTTGTGCCCGTGTTTTTATTCCTTTTTTTATGTGTGTGTGTGTGTACTACTAATCAAATAATATGAACATTTGTTCTTCCTATAACCTCTATTTTTTATTCCGTATGCCATGATATTTTTTTCTTTTGAGAATTTTCTGAAAACTTCAACAATTATTGTTGATTTTATTTATTGTAAGCTGTTGGTTTTGTAATTAATAAATAACTGAATGACAGTCCGTAAGTGAATCATTTACTTGTGTTAAAGTTAAATCAATCTTAAATGTTTTTATAAATGATGGGTGTATAATGCTAGGTGTATTTAGCTATTGAACTATTTTGTCCTTTTCTAATAAGTTATTTTCATCATTTGAGTGAAAGTGACAAAATACTCTAATATAATTAAAAGGTACAGTTTAGTATTTATGAGTAAAGTCAAGTGTATTTACATAAATAAAAATTATTGTTTTTTTAAACAGAATTTTAAATAAAATATATGAAAATGTATAATAATTTGTATGTTAATTATTTTTACTTATATGATATTAAAATTTAGTATTACAATATAGTAGTAGGTACAATATAGTTAAATGTGTTTTTATGTGGTAATATTTTTATATTGAATTGTATAAGACAATGGCTGTATCGGCTAAGTCCTTTTGCCTTTCCCTCAGACAAAAAAAAATTGTATTAATGTCTGAAATCATGTTTGTTTTCTCTAAAGGTAATTCAATTACATAAATGTTACCTCTATTGTGTCATACTGTATTATGTAGTAGCTGATGACTGATAGTCGAAGTACCACAATGTCAGAAGAGTGTTGACATTTGTTTCCCGCCAATTTTCATAGAGTACGCTACGAACTGTCACCCAGGAGGAGGGCATGTTTAATCATGCGTTTGAATACGACCGTAAGTTTTGATTTGTACTCATAGAATTATTATCTGTTTGTTGAATCTATGTTAAACTTTTTTCTTATTTTTTTTATTATATATTTTATTTAATACTAATAACGTTGTTTTAGCATATAAATTAATTAATCGGTGGCCGCCGAGAGTAAAAAATTGTTGAAATACTGATTTCGCTATTAAAAATGGATGTTGATGGTAATGGATGAAAATTTAAAGGTGGTATATATTTTTAATACAGAATCATAAAAATAATCTTTGTTGTGGACCACCGTTAACTCTTATAAAAAATAGTTTAGCTTTAATATATTTCGAAAAATAAGGAAATAGTGAATAAATAAACAGATCGTATAAAAAAATGGCCAAAACATGACGTATATAACATTCACACAAAAATGCACTTAGTAACGCGTTTATTTCAAAGTCGGTTAACAGTCATATCTACAATACCTCAGAAATACATGGGCTTCAAACAATATCAAGATGACTTTAATGTATGACGTGATTAATAAATAAAAATCACTTTAATCTAGATGGAGAAATATTTATATAGAATATATAAATTATATAAAGTCATATATTTCGTTATCTATATGGATAACGATTTTATTTCAATTCCGATTGCAAGCAGCAATGATAAGCCGATATAATGGCACGCGACTTGGGTTGTCTTGTGTTTGCAAAATATATATACGTGACGGGAAAATCATGCCGAGGGAGATTTTGTACAGTTGTACTGTGTTTACATTTAGCTTTTTTATTTTATACCAGCTGTTCCCGCGACTTCGTCCGCGTGGAATTTAACTTTAATTTTCTAAAATAAAAGTAGCTTAAGTTACTCCTTACCACATCAGCTACCTGCCAAAAAAAGTCCCGTCAAAATCGGTCCAGCCATTTCAGAGATTACCCGGAACGGTCAAACAGACAGACAGACAAAAATTGTAAAAAATGTTATTTTGGTGTATGTACCGTATTTATATGAATATAATGCATGTAAAAAAGTATTTCAATGTTACAAACAGACACTCCAATTTTATTTATATGTATAGATTATTTCTTTCTCTGGTAATATGTTGAAATTCTCATTATATGTATATATTCTCATGCCTACACCTTATACTGAGATAGAGTTTATACAGAGTTGGCAGTATATATGCATTATATATTTATTAACTTTTTTAATTTTATATTTAATTATTTCTCTGCTATTATATTTCATTTCTTATTATATACATTCTCATCCGTACACCTTATACTGTGATAGAGTTTCTACAAAGTTGTTCTTATGGTATATATGCGTATGCTATTTAGAATTTTTTTATTTATATATATATTTGTTTCACTGCTATTATGTTTAATTTCTCATTATATATTTGCCCAAATGTAAACATGTCATATATTCCGTTCACATGATATCGACAATTGATAATGCCTCTGAATACCCCATCCGGGATTACAGTCGTGACTTTGTAACGTCAACAAATAACGTTACCGTAATAATAGTAATAATTTTGTAATTAGTATTTTTATAAAAATAGATTGTTTTCAAAAATAGCTAAAGGAAAATAAAATAACTACTTTATTAACCGTATTAAAAATTTACAACATAAATATAGATAAGAGATAGTAGTTCCGCAATGCGCATGTTTAGTAATTTCAGCATGGCCTTTATAACAATGTTAAATATTTACAAAAAGTATATTTGTAATATATATAAATGTGGCCCAGAAATAACACGGTTATTTGTTATCTTTCGAATTATGTTATGTGCATTGTAATGCACGAGTTGCATAAAAATGTAACTACACCTATTCTCATAACAATATCGTTGTATTAGCTGTCAACTATACCATTCAATTAGAAGCCATCCAAAAAGTAATTTTTAATACATACACACACTCTCTTCCCTTTCTCCCTTTCATAGCTTGGTCACATTTTCACAGTCGTGTTCTCCACAATGTGAACATTTGTATTCATAAGTACACACTTGTATGGTATTTGACAATAATAATTTGAATTATTTTAATGTTTTGTAATATCCCTATGATATTTACCACCCTACTTTCAATATAAAAAGGCGCTAAAGCACTCACGATTGAAAAACGCGGCAAAGTACGAGTTGGCGGCACCCGCGTTTTTCAGGTTCTATTGTCTACATTTACATGTTCATTATATCCTGCATAACAGCCAATTTGCGCGGGATAGGGCGTGCGTGTAAAGTCAGCTGAAGGCATTCACATGCATATTTTATTCTGCGTGAAAGACAATTCGTGCATGAAAGAGCGTACCTGTACAGACAACTATTTACATGTTCAGTCTTTCCTGCTTGAAAACCGCGTACGTGTAAAGGCTATTTACATGTTCATTCTTTTTTTCATGAAAGTCGATTCGCACGTGAATGACCGTACGTATAAGGCACATACATTTTGTGGTGTCCACGCGTGAAAGAGGGTACGTGTAAAGGCAGCCAATATATTAAGACTGTATATTTTGTAGTGTCTACGCGTGAAAGAGGGTACGTGTAAAGGCTTCTAATATATTAAGACGGTACATTTTGTGGTGTCTACGCGTGAAAGACGATACGTGTAAAGGCTGCTAATATATTAAGACGGTACATTTTGTGGTGTCCACGCGTGAAAGAGGGTACGTGTAAAGGCAGCCAATATATTAAGACGGTACTATTTGTGGTGTCCACGCGTGAAAGAGGGTACGTGTAAAGGCAGCCAATATATTAAGACGGTACTATTTGTGGTGTCCACGCGTGAAAGAGGGTACGTGTAAAGGCAGCTAATATATTAAGACGGTACATTTTGTAGTGTCCACGCGTGAAACAGCATACGTGTAATGGCAGCTAATGTGATTATTAGCTATTACATGCTCATCCTCTCCTGCGTAAAAGCCGATTCGCGCACGAAAGACTGAACGTATAAAGGCAGCTAATGGTGTGGTGTGATCAACAGCGGAGGACGACACGTCTCTGTGCGACGAGGAGGCAGCGGCGGAAGCGGCGGAGGCTGCGGCGGCGTTCGCGCGGGCCTGCGCCCCCGACACGCAGCGGCTGCTCGCGCCTGCAGCCTCCGCGCCCACGCTACAACGCCGCCTGCTAGACGATCACGAGCAGTGAGTACACTACCTTAACTTGTATATTCTTCTTTTTTAATCTTACACTCTTGGCAGGCTTTCATGATGGTATATCTTCGTTGTACTGTTTGCTCTTCGCAATTTACCACCCCAGCAGCATATGCTCGAGGCCCGTACCCGGCAGCCCAATTGGGCCCGCGGAAGAACCCCCTGCTGCTCGCAATTTACACGCTGGGGTAGTTTACTAGAGCAGTATGCCCGGGTAATATTCGTTGCTCGAGGCCCGAACAACCTGTACGACCAATGACAAGATATTTACCACTTCTATATAGTGTATTAAGTTATTAGGTGTATTTTTCGGTCACAATAAGGCGTCGCGTGGAGGGGGTAGATGATATATCTCGTTCTAAAAGGAGAAAAGCTGGTGGTGGCGGAGAGAGGACAATGGCAGTCCGTTGAAGTTTCCCTGCTCCAATGTAACCGTCCACTCATTCCTTTCTACTTTTTTATATCGAGTACGTCTGTGCCCGAGAAAGTAGAGATTTTTTTTTTATTTCTTTTTAAATTTAGGGACTTTTGTACCATCTAAGTACATGTCAGTCCCATTGTACCCTAAAACCAATCACTCCATTACCTCACCAGTGAACAAATTGCCTTAGCCGCACCGCCTAAAGGATCGGCTAAAATTAGAGATAAAGTTGTGATACAACACACGGTGGTGAATATACTATTATATTATATATGTATATCTTATTAATATTATAAACGCGATAATTTGTTAATATAGATGAACAGATTGATTGATGAATGGTTGTTTGTTACTCTTTCACTCAAAAACTACTGAAATAATTAGTTTTGTAGAAATAGACCGACATAGGCAACGTCGGTTTGGCCTAGCCCCTGAAGTAATAAATAAGTAATGATCATCAACATCGGCTTCTTCCTTATCCCATTTATATGGGGTCGGCATATTATGAATAATTAATATTATATGTAAAATGAAGAGATGTTATTAAGTATATAATAATACTAGGTGACCCGCGCAATATCGTCATCACACTTACTAGACATTTACCATTATATTTCACGCAATTTACGTAATATCTTTTTAAATTATGGCTTATGTGTTATTCTAATGTATAATCTATATTACTGTAAAGTTTTGCCAAGATCCGTTCATTTGCGAAAAAAAAGTATGAAACATCCATCCATACTCCCAATTTAAACGTTTATAACATTAGTAAGTTTGAGCGAAATAGGTATTTTTAAGCCATTATACAACTAATCTGCACACACGACTTCACCTGCCCTCAATCTTCAACACCACATGCCACATTTACGAGGATCGATGGAGGCAAAAGATAAACAGACTCACTTTGAGACTTATATTTGTAAGGTTAAATACATAATTAGACCGCAATGCTATATTAAGCGGAGTCGTGTTTATTTTTATTCGGATGTTACGCATATCAGAGCCAGATGCGGAAATAGAGTCGCCTATAAATAAACGTATTAAATGTAATGTTGTTAATGTTAGATAGATAGATAGATATCACATTCATTTGTACTTTCAGTATACATATAAATAAAATTGGAGTGTCTGTTTGTAATATTGAAATAACCGTTTTTTTACTACATGAATATGATTATATATACGGTTCATACACCAAAATAACATTTTTTACAATTTTTGTGTTTGTTCCGCTAATATCTGAAATGGACCGATTTTGACGGTGACTTTTTTTTGGCAGGTGATATTATAAGGAGTAACTTAGGCTACTTTTATTTTAGAAAATTAAAGTTAAATTCCACGCGGACGAAGTCGCGTGTACAGCTAGTGTTAGATATATAGATAGATAAAACATTCATTTGTACTACTGACGACCTCGGTGGTCTACCTATTTAGCACACTGCCTTTTTTTTTATTGGAGGTTTGGGCTATTTTGAAATGCTAAGATCTGTAACACTGCGACCTGTATAGATCTATCGTGCTCGCCCTTAATCAAAGTTCGCTACCTAGACACGTGAGGAACAAGAACTGAAGGATATTCTTACGAGCGATGGTTTTTATCTCCTCAGGATATAGTGTATACTTTCTAAAGGAGATATTTCGTTTATGCATGAGAGGGCTACAACCACATATGATGTGTAGTGGCGTTTCCTCTTCTGCTTCACACCGCCTTACTTCCGATAGTCGGTTTCGATTCCTCGCACGGCATAAACATTTGTATTCATGAGTATGATTGTTTGTATTGTATATTCGTTTTATTATCTAAATCTGTAAAGATTAGAATTTTGAACACAAATACCTAGTACCTATTTACGGATTGATATATCAAAATTAGATATAGACTTGTTTGGATCTCCGAATATGCGTGGACCACTTGGTTTTATTTTATTTTAATCCAAAATTAGAACGTTTCAAGGAATAACTTTATTTATAGCAAGACGTAAATATTGACGTGTAATGAAATTATCTCCGAAACTCCACAGGACGTGACGTCAGCATATTACAAATCAATCATTTTGACGAAGTAGCATCAACAAATCATCGAATATGATTTTCAGCAACATTTTCCGTCTAAAATCTCGTTGTTCAAGGTGTTAGACTGAAAGTGCTGTTTTATCAGATTCATTACACGCACCGCCCACACTGGTAGTCGAGTTGAATAGAATAGAAATCTTTATTCAAATAAACTTAATATAAGCAATTTTGAATTGTCATATTTATTTTATTTATCCGGAACTCAAACTCATCACTAGAAGAACGAGAAAGAGACTTGCGTGTTGCTTTTTTTAATATAAGGGGCTGAATATACTCTCAAATTGTACCTTTACTTTATGGTAATAATATTGATCCTTGACTATATAAATGACATTATTAACAATCCCATGGGTATTTTGGACTAACAACCCCATCTTTTAGGCCAATCTGACTACTGACGAACAGTTTCTTAGTAAACTCTTCGTCAGTTTCTAGAAAGACAGATTTTTTTTTATACCATTTTTAGGTGGCAAACAAGCATACCGCCCATCTGATGGTAAACGGTTACCGTAGCCTATGGACGCCTGAAACACCAGGGGTGTCACATACGCGTTGCCGACCCTTAAGAAACCTTAATATACCCTTCTTGAAAAACCCCATGCTATAGTCTCTCGAGAAATCCTCGGCAGGTAGTTCATTCCACAATCTAAGTGTACACGGGAGGAAGCTCCTCTGAAACCGCACTGTCCGAGACCACTTAGGTTCCAGCGTGTGGGGATGAATTCCCTGTCGATGGCGAGCGGTGCGATGGTAAAAGGTAGCCGTAGGCATCATGTCAAACAATTCTTCACACACACAGTCCGTTGTATATTCGGTAGGACACACAAAGCGATGCGAAGTCTCGCCTCAAGCTAAGTGGCTCGATATCGTTAGAGAGATTGGGATCATCGACAATAATCTGTATATCGAAAAATAATCCAGATGATTGCATCTAAATTGTACAGGATATCGTGAAACTGTTTTTAATCTAATTTTAATAGTGTGCCACTAAATTGTACAGAGTGTTTTATACATAACTACCTGTCCCGGCAAATGTTGTTTTGCTATTAAAACCTAGTACTAATATAGCTATTAAGAAAGCAGTTGGTGATAGAAGGGTGAAAATTTAGTGCTGTATGTATTTTTTAATGCCACATTATAAAAAATAATCCAATAAATAAAAAAAGATATTAGGGGTGGACAACCCTTATCACTTAAGGGTAAGAGAAATAGATAGTAGCTCAGACCTACTAATACATGCATACAAAATTGCATACAAATCGGTCAAACCGTTAAATATAAGATATAAAAGTGTAGTAAACCCTTTATAGCTAAAAATGCAATAAATCATACCGGTTGTGTGAAAAAATAACAATCTAGGAATAGAAGGGACTGAAACAAACATGTTTACCATCCCAGTTGTTTGATTTTAATAGGCTTGTAGCAGAGTTCGTTACCGACTTTTAGGGAGATGCGTCCACGCAATAAAATTACGATGTAGGTATTCTTCAGTGTCTCTATTCGGAGACCTTGTATCTTACCTAGACCTTATATATTGTGGGTAATTGTATTATGAATATTATGTGGGTACTGTATTGCATGTTCCTTTATTAAACAGTCTCAATCAAAACGTCTTTCTGTTAGCACCTTGGTCCTGCACCTTGACATGGCGCAGTCGGTAGGATTCGAACCTACGCTCCCAAAGGGAATCTGATTTCCAATCAGATATAAATACATAGTAAACACCCAGACTGATGCAATCATACTCATGAAATATATTGTATCCCCTCACTCAAGCACGATAGCAATTTCACTCGAAATTTTACCGTAAACATTTACGTTATACTCTACTCGTCTTACTCTATTGTTACAGTAAACATTTTTTTTTCTGTTCCTTATATATCCGCAATCAGTAAGTGTACTATAATCGGATTGGTTGGTAAATTCACAGTAAATATAATGGTATATTTTTCGTTATTCTGAAAATTCATTATAATTCAAATGATTTACACATTTTTCAAATTTTTATACTGTCTTGTATTGTTTATACGAATGAGCTAAAGATAAATCTTATTTTTTGGTGAAGATCTAGTTTATCAGTTACACGTAATTAAATAAAAACTTTATTAAAGAAATGCTGACTAGTGTGTAACGTTGTTATTCATCAAGTTTAATTAGTTATAGTTGAAAATTTTTATAGTAGCACGTTCTGTACTGAGAATTATAAGGGACATGTAGCTTTAAAGAAAGGAATTCAATAGTTTCCACTACGAATAACTGTTGACCGCGCCGTACCTAATAGATATATGTATATATGTATATTATCTATTATTCTTGTGTCATAATGTTAGTTCCCTTCTTCTTCGGAATGGCTTGACGGCTTTTTTTATTTTTTGTACAATTTTCTTTATTTTTACATACATACAACCCAAAATTTCATCCTTCCGTCACCAAAACCTATTTTTTAATAACGATTTTCTTTTATATAGTAAAACAGCGTTTACAGGGTCAGCTA